ATCCCTCCAAACAAGGTAAAATTATTTTACATCTTCTCCCCTTCGATTCCCTCCAACCAAATATACCCTCAGATCCTAGAGACATGGTAAGTTAGAAAAGTAGATTTAAGAAGATCTCTTTGCTAACTAAGACTCTCTTGGGCATCAAGATACCCTGAATATTTAAGGGTGACCAATTTATCTTATTTTACACATTGTACAAACAACAAACATATTACCAGTTTTCTCACGAGCAAGATACTGACTTGAGTATTGTAGGTTTCCCTCTCGGACCCCTTTTCTACGTTTTGCATGTTATCGTAGCTCCTAGCCGGTGGTCGTTCGAGAGATCGTGTTTCAACCCGGTTTGAGGCAATTTGCGTATCAACGTGTAAATACCAGATTTGAAGAACAATGATGATCTAGCATCACTTTTTGAGAATGTATTTTACCTCGAATAGAGTAGTACGATATGTTGCAAAAACATCAAGCAAAAACAGAAATACTGAAGTCACAAGTTGACCTTGCTCACAAGTTTATTTCGACTATAAAATACCTCTTGCCACAAAGGCTACGATGAAGGCAATGTTAGATTGTAACACATTGTTTTTTGTTGTGGACAAACCTAAATTAAAGATGTTGTTGAGAAGATGTTCGAGTTACGGGCCTAGAAAGTGAATACATTGATCGCGTGTGATGGAACCAAGAAGGCTTTTGTTATGCTGACACGAGATTGTAATGCTTTGGATGTGTCAAAAAGGATTAATTTGTAGTGCAAAGTTGAGAAAAAATCATATTCCATAAAGAATTATTGTTCAAATCTAACAAACAAAACTATAACTGATGTAGGGAAGCGTACGAGTGGGAAGGATAAACGAGTAAACGAGATACTCTCTCGTAAAATACGCAAGATTCACAATCTCTAATCTTATTTCATATTCAAAATCAACTAAATAAAATAAACTAGAGGGAGTCCTTTATATAAGGCCCATAATCCTAAAACCTAACTTGATCACCAAGAAAGTTACTAAATATTTAAATACTAAAACAGTAATAATAATAACTATCCTGCATCATTCTCCTCCGGTTCGAAAGGCTTCGCCCTCGAAGCCGCACCAAACGTGCTGACACCAGAGTCGTACCCATGGCAATCATCGTCCGACATTTCCTCCTATCGAACACGAAGGTTGAAGGTCGCCCAACAACCCCGAAAGTAAACATAATCCCGGACAATGATTGAACTGCTGCAAAGGCACATGTACACGCTTTCATACGCATAACCTACAAAGCTGAATTAACACAAAACATACCACATCGTTCGCCGCGCTCAAATCCATAACTACGGCCAAGCATCCCGTTGTTGGGAGACTTCGGGATAGACAATCGTAAAATGGCCCGCCAATTATTGAGTCTCGACTTCGGCTCCCAAAAACCATCGTTGGCCAAGATACTCCAAACATCGGGTTTCAACGACGGCATCCCCATCAAAGGCTCAACTTCTGCGACGTCCCACGTGGGACCCATATTGCTGCAAAAATATGTCTACGTCACCGGAGGCTCCTCATCAAAAATAGGCGGACCGTCATACAATAGTCCGTCATCTTCCTTAAAAATCACACTTTGTTGCCGCACATCTTGGTCGTCGTGCACAGCAACGAGCTTAGTCTCGACGAGCGGAAGCGGCCATTCTCCGAAGGGATCCACCTCCGAGATGGTCTCCTCGCTGTCTGCATCGCCGGACGGCGGTTGCGGAGATCGCCGTGGGGCGCCCCGCCTGGACCACGATCTCCACTTCCTCCGTGGACTCCCCCACACACCCGCCGGTCGCCGGTGGCACGATTCATCTGCAAATCCCATATCACGTTGTTAAGCGTCAAACGCAAATCCTCGATCCTCGTCGAAAGATCGGCAAACTAATCCGTAAAACGCACGTCCAATTGTTGAAATCGGTAATCGATCTGTTGAAACCGATTGATGAAGGTTGCGTCACGTCGTTCGTTTGCGGCATCTTGTCGTCCCGGCGGCTTCGCAAATCGTACTGACTGCTGATACCAACTGATGTAGGGAAGCGTACGAGTGGGAAGGATAAACGAGTAAACGAGATACTCTCTCGTAAAACACGCAAGATTCACAATCTCTAATCTTATTTCATATTCAAAATCAACTAATTAAAATAAACTAGAGATGGTCCTTTATATAAGGTCCCTAATCCTAGAACCTAACTTGATCATTAAGAAAATTACTAAATATTTAAATACTAAAATAATAATAATAATAACTATCCTGCCTCAATAACGAAGTTGATATGAGATTAGGGTGCATATATAATGTAGGCGCATGTGTTCTAAAAGTTGTTTTTCACTGTAATTTCCTATTATACAAAGATGAGCTAATACTAACATGGGAGATAACATAAAAATATTTCATCCCTTAGAATATGTTGATAATATACTTTTAAGCTTTATGTGTATTACATGGATCAAAGAGCAGTGCAGTGGACCAACAAATGAAGTGTAGAAATACTGCATTATACCTTGCCTTCATAAACTACACACACTTGTTATACTTTGAAGTATGCACTCACTATTGCTATTAATATATAAGAATCTATATATATATATATATATATATATATAAAAAAGGAGCAACAAAGCATTTAATTTTATTACCATGCATTAAATTTTATTCTCCCTCCAAAAATTTTCAACATTCAATTTCATTTTTAAGTTACAAAATAACTTGCTTGAATGTCATAAATTATGAGATAAACCAATCAAGGGAGTTACAAAATTGTACTCAAATTTTAAGTTATACCTAACATAAAGTAAATGGTTGTAACGGCTCTTCAATAGCAATTACTTGATCAAAATCAATTTTGAGAATTATTTTTTTAATTCATATTTTTTTTTATGAATTAAATTATGATTTATTTTTATTATTTTTTTATATTTTTCTTTTCAAATTATTCGTCTCTGTGCAAATGCACATGTTGATGCAAATGCACGTGTTAATTACTAGTATTAATTAATCTGCTATAACTTTTGAAGAAGTCCCTACATGATGCATTTATTAAGTTTAAGTTGGGCCGGGTCGTGGTAAAGTTTGGCAGCTTTATTCTTTTGACTTTGTTATATCATCTCAATGAAATAATTAGTCATATCGCTCATGTTATATACGTGGCCCGTGCGATGCACGAGAAAATAATATTTTGATTGTATTATTATAAATTAAATAAATAAATAACATTAATCATGATTTACCCATTATTTATAAATCAAACTGGGTTGGACACAGTCCGACCGCATGGACCGAGAACCGGTTTATAACCGATTTAGTGCGCTTGAATAAAATATTTACTATCGAATCCGCCAACACCAGTATGTTGGACTGGTAAGATCGATACAATTTTCTAAACAAATTTTGTTACATGAAAAATTATTTTAAATAAAATTACATATTTAAATAAAATAGAGATTTATAAATTGTTTATCAATTAGTTTAAACATTTGAATTTATAAATTGTTTAGATATTTAAGTACCACTTTTTATTTAAATATATATATATATATTAAAGTATTATGTATTAAAATCTGAACAACCACAAGACGGTCCGATTCTGAAAACCTTATATTTACCGTACATTAATAAAAATGATAATGAAATAAATATTTTGTTCACATAAATAATAATAAAATGATATATAAATATTCACAAATCATTATTCATGTTGTCATAAAAGTATTGTTAATATGATTATTTGAAGTTTGGACTACATCACATTCATGTAATAAAATATTTTCAATATTAAAATTTATATTTAGGTTCAATAATCAATTTGGTCTGGTCAAACTGATACATAACTTAGTTACACCAGACCAACCAAGTTGTGTCAAGTTTTTTTACTATTTTAAATATCACCTAAAAATAATTCAATCAAAGTGGGCAGTACCCTAATTCAATCACCCGATTGATCCAAAGTAATTTTCTTATTTTCTTTAAATATAATATTTAATTTTACGAAATAAAAATATTTTATGATTCATATGTCTACACTAAATGATAGTATATTAAGATTATAAATTATATATCTAAAGACGAACTATTTATTTTTATTTTATGCATATTAATAAAAAATAAACATAGTAATTTAAAAAAAAATAAGATTAATTAATTGAGTATGCAATTTAAAAAATATTTTTAGCATTCAATATATATATATATATATATATATATATTCAACATGATTGAATTTTTGGATTAGAATATATATATTTAAAATAATTTTATTACTAAAAGTCAAAAAGAAAAGATGCCATAAAGATTACAACTTTGAAAAGTTTGTAACCATTAATTTAGGAACCCTCCGATTTTAAATGATTTATAATTTTTGAAACATGATACGTGCATTTAAAACCCATTAATTTAGGAACCATCCAATTTTTTTGATAATGAATTAAAATTAAAATGTAAAATATAAAAGTTGCTGAAAATAGTATATAATAAATGTGGTTGACTTTTCCTTACTACTATTTATGGTAAATGTTAATTCTTATTATATATATATATATATAGATTATCTAAATAGAGCAAGTTATTCAGTACTATTAATCCTATTTGAGTAGTAATGATGCTTCTCAACTACTTTATGGTCATATTTATTTTAATAAATTGATATACTTTTATGCTATAGCATTGTTACTTTAAAAATAACATATTTCAACACTAAATAAAAATATGACATTATTTTATTTTAAAGTACGATGGTACTGGCAAAAGCAAAATGTAACTAACTCATATTGAAGTCCATCGATATAAAACATTTTCCTTGTAGGGATGCCTTTGTTGTGGGTCTATGTGTAAACAACTTGCTATGCATTTATTTATGGAAGTAAACCCCTTGAAGAAATGGTTTATCAGAAAAAAATTATTATAAACAAATTATTTTATGCATAACGTGTGTCACTCGTATGTATTTAAACCATTTATAGAAAACGAAAGTATCCAAACCCTCATTGCACAAAATGAGCACCAAACGGAGTAATAATAATTGTGGTGGTAAAGAGAGCAAATTGGTGAGGTACATAAAAGGGCCTATTCGAATTCTGGCCCGAGCACGTGATTTCTACGTCAACAGCCTCACTGGATGCGCCGACCATGTAGCCTACGCCGGCGCCACCCTCCAGCCGGCGGCCCTGCCCAGAAGTTTCAGCACTTCCTCAGCCCACGATACGGCGGAGCTCATCCGGATCGCGTCTGTTCGCACAAAATCGGAGGCAGAGCTCCTCCGCATGAAGAAGCGCAGCCGCTCGGTGGCAATCGGTAGGATTGATGAGGACAAGCCGTGCGAATTCGACGGCAGGACCAAAATCCAATTTTACTGATTTTATTTGGGATAAAAGAAAAAAGGCCCCCTTTTAATTTAATTTGGTGATTTGTTCTGTTTGTGCGTATATGCTGTGTGCTACTTGTGTGGTGGGGTGGGGTGTCAGTGTCGTGTCATGTCATGTATTAGTGCTCTGAATTTTATCCATCCACATGTAAAGTGTTGTTACGATATTTATCTTAAAAAAGTTTAAGAAATTAAATAAAGTGAAATGGATTCTCTTATTTGGGATTTATTGTCGGTCTCTATATATGTGAATGTGATATCATATCGGATCGACTTGAATTGAGAAGTGGTCTAACCAAACAAGACGAACCGACAGGTCGTTTGGAGATCGAGGATATTGGAGTTGGACAAGTCATTAAGTCAATAGTTACTTCACTGGCAAGGAGGCTTGTGAACAGGTCGAGCTAGGGCCTCGAAAGGCTTCATAGGCTCGTCAACCATTTTGGCGTCGTCTATAGGAACTTCGTTCAAAAAGTCTTCAAACACCATGGTTCATGGCGAGCAGTGATCCTAGAAGAAACTTGGAGTCCACCTTCGACGAGTTTTAGGTCTCCAAGCAACCATTTGGAGCAGGCCCGCCATCGGACTTCTCAGGGTCGAGCCAAACCCCATTGATCCTGATGGTCCATCCTTCACGTTTAGTGGGTTCACCAGTGACTCCTGTAGCGGATCAACCAGCTTGGAGGTGGATTGAGTGCTGAGATCGTTCATGTGCACCCCCACACAACTAGATCTAGTCCAGGCCGAGAAAATGGGACCAACTGCCGGTGGAGTGGTGCCCGTAGGACAACATGTCGTCACCTTGACAAAGGATGAGCTTAACAAAGTTGATAGCAGAGGCCACAGCCACAAGGGGTCCCCAACATCAAGTGTTGAATGTAGTACCCTTACTGCAGCGACGAGAAAGGAGACTGAAGTCGAGATCACAAACAACATAGTTGTAAGAGGCCATCGTGGCCCAGCTGTGGAAAGAATGGCCGAGTAGATTTGGGAGCTGCAAGCAAAAGTAGACAGATAACGAATTGGGAGAGCTCGAGGGCATCCTTTTGCCCAGGGGCTCTTGGAGGCGAATCTAACTAACAAATTTTAGGGAGCTCAGAAAATTTTAGGGAGCTCAGTATCACCTATGACAGGTCTATAGATCTATCTCACTTGTTTGAGAACATGGTCGTTTTGCACGACTACTAAGATGTGAGCTGCAGGGCATTTTTGGCAACCTTTGAATGGAGGAGCACGGGATTGGTTCCACCAACTCTCCCTGAGGTTAGTTAAATATTTTGAAGATTTTGCAAATTTGTTCCTCAATCAGTTCGCAAGTTTGAGGTCGTAAGAGAAGACCTATCTGATGCTGATGGCGACGCAGCAGGAGCAGGGAGAGACACTGAGGACTTACGTTGGTCAATATACATGAGCATGTGGTGAGATGCCTTCAGCCTCAGAGGAGGTTAAGGCTAGAGGATTGACTAGAAGCTTGCGTGTTGGTCTTTGTAGGAGCTCGTTGGCCAAGAAGTCGACATTAACTTTTGATGAGGTCTTGAAGAGATGCAACAAGTACATAAACATGTAAGAGTCGAAGGCTGAATTTGCTAAGATGGAAAAGATATCTAGACCTAAGGTGAGAAAGGAAAGAGGAAGCTCGCTGAAGAAAGAAAGATCGAAAGGGAAATGAAAGGATAGGTAGAGAGATTGACCGGTGAGGGATAGACAAAGGTACGATAAGTACATTCCACTGAGGTTGAACCCCAGGTGTTGTAGACCATGGAAAAAGGGTTGGATGGGGCTAAAATTACCTAGTCGAGGAGAGAAAGCCCGACTCAACAGAAATCTGACCTATGCACAACGAACAAACAACTGTAGAAACTTGAAGGATGAGATCGAGCGGCTAATTAGAGATGGTCATTTGAAGGAGTTCGTGTACAAAGGTAAGGGGAGCAAAACCAATGAAGGGAGGACAAGAGAAAGCGACCAGGGAAACACGAGAGCGAAGTCGAGGACGATGTCCTTCCCAAGAAGGGTGTGATCTATATGATCTCTAGAGGACCTACTGACGGAGACTCCAACAATGCAAGGAAGCAGCACACTCGAGCAGCAGAAATAAAGAGGGAAGAGGTTGGCCTCGCGACCAGAGAGCCTTGATAAGTTTAAGGTCGAAATATGTCAAGGGGGTCCACGTGCCTCATAATGATGCGTTTGCGATCTCTACAGAAGTCGTTGGTTATGAGGTCCAGTGTTTTTCATCGACATAGGGAGTTCGGTGAACATGATGTTTTATGACTGTTTTAAATAGATGAACCTGGATGTTGAGCTGAGGGAAGTTAGAATATCGTTATTTGGATATAATGTTGGATAGGTTGTGCTCATGGGAGAGGTCATGCTAGGGTATACAGTAAAAACTCGACTTTCAGTTTCTAATAAATTTTCTTATTTAGTAATAAAATATTTTTTAGCGCGAAAATCATACTATTTTAAGTAAATACGACATTTTTATATATCTATATATAAATAGATTCATTATAATATAAAACCATTATTAGTTTTTGGTTATATAAATATTTTTTCCTTTCTTTTAAATCTATATTCATTTTTGTGGAATCTATTTTGGCCACAATTTTTCATTGCTTCAGATGGGCCATAGACAATTGCATCTGTCTACTATTAGATGCTTCGGTTGCCCATGCCCTCTATTTAGGTTATCAGGATATCACGATGGCCTATAAATATGGAATTTGGAACTGGAGAAAAATCTAAATAGGAGAATCACAAAATAAAACATAGGAAGAAGTGAGATAGTGTGAAAGTGCCAGAGAATCTGATAAGTGACAATGAAGCACACTTTCATTCATGTCTCTAAAAACGCATTTGTCACACCTGCTCCCCACTACCTTGTTGGAATGAAATAAAAATATACAATTGTATTCAATTCAAGTAAAATATTTATATGCTTAGAATAGTAATTTGAAGTTTTGAACTCATGCACACACACTGTCTAACAAAAAACATAAAAACATCAAGGCTACATATAAGTTCAATAAAAGCTATATGGACTATACCTTGTTGTGCGTGTCTTTTTCTCATCTGTCTTCATCTTTTTGTCATACAATCTTTTCTACTTCTCTATCCTATATCTCTTCTATGCATTGTCGACTAATTCTATGTGAAAACCACTCAATCATTCTTCGATTAAAACATACAAGAAACTAGAAACACATGCATAAACAAATAAAGCAACTAAAACCACCTGTATACTCAATGTACTTATAGTTATAATTAATTAGTATTAATGTATGAAATATTAAAAATTCACACCATCTACTGGAGTATGAAAATTAGAAACACTTAAAGAAATTAAACATGATATCATTTTACACAGCCTTAAGCACTAGATTAGTTTATGTTGAAGGCCTAATTTTAGATTACACCTCAAATTAAGAAGGGTCATTCTAATGTTAGGTATATTTTAGTACATACATGACAATAATTATCCTTTTAAATGTTGATACGATCTTTTTACCTAACTAAATAATTAAAAAAAAAAAGTAAAACGCATTTTATTTAATTTCTATATAATGTCTTTACTTAAAATATTAAAAAAAACTAAAATCATAAACTATATTTTATTTTATTTATTTTTTATTTAAAAGATGTTAAATTATTCATATATATGCAGAAAATTCAAAAAAAAAAAACGTGGAATGTGACACTTTATTGAAAACTCATATGAACTCAAAACATCAAGATGTATTTTGTGAAAAAGGAATAAAATGAGAGTTCACCCATCAAATATGGACAATTGAGTCGCTGAAAAATGGTGATTGAATTCTTCATCCCGCAACCATGCGCCACTAAAATTGGAAGGTCGAATCGATGATCGGGAAATACTGTTGAATTTCTCATGAAAAGTGATTTCTATACTTATAAGTTTTACTACACTCCAGAGGTTGGATCATCGGTAATATTCCAACAAAATTTAATTAACAATTCTTTGATTTTATTAAAACTTCAACAGTGGTTTAACAAAGTTTGAAGTATCATATGATGAAATTAAACATGTAGCTTGAAAAAATCAACTAGAGAACTTCAAAATGATATATGATTTATTGAAATGCATCACTGGTAGGCCGGCGACAAATGGCAGTTGATGGTAGTGGTCGACGGCGGCGAAATGGTTGGATCGTCAATTGTAACACGTTTTAAATTTAATAACCTATAATTTTAATTATTTTTTTTATTTTTGTATACATGATCTTAAATCTAAACATAATTTTTCTTTATATATTAACATAAATTATAATCAAAATTAAAGTAAGAGTATAATAGTTTTGCATGTACGAGGTAATGTGCAAGACAATCAATATACTTTTTTTACACAACCTGACATGACATGAAATGTACAATTAAGAAAGCAAAATTCTATCTTCCTACAACTATATTCCCACAACATCAAATCTCACACACCCAAAGATTGATGCATGCTAGTGGATCTCTCTTGATTTATATCATATGGATACTTTTTCCACTCAATTCACCTCCAATCACTCATCATCACCCCCCTCATCAACTCCAATACCCTCCGCAAAAACCCTAATCACAACCAACCACGACCAAAATGCTTCACCAGCATAACAATAAAAAGCTTCCCTATCCTCCCCCTTCCAAACACTACCTCACCCCATCACCCGATCCTTTTTTTTCACAATCTCCGGCATTGTCCTCTGCACTTTCCGGCAAAAACAACTGGTCCTCAGATATTCTCGTCGAGCTCGTTAAAGCCATTGCCGACGACAGTAACAGCTCCCGTGCCCGACAACTCATGTGTCTCATAATCGAGCTAAGCTCACCTTATGGAGATATCGACCAGAAACTTGCGTTTTATTTCATCCAAGCAATTTTCTGCCAGTTAGCGGGCTCAGGCCCGCAGACTTACCGGACCCTGATAGCCGCCTCTGAAAAAACCAGCTCATTCGAGTCCACCAGAAAGATGCTGCTCCGGTT